GCGAAAACAAGGTCAAACAACTTCTATTCAACGAAAGGAGACTGCGACCACACAAAAGGCCACACCATCCCATAATGTTCGTTCCAATGTTATTGGCACTATCAAAAGGCCTCACAAAGACTGGCAATGATCAACTTTCCTTTCAGTATTTTTCTCCACATAGAGGCCGACGTAGCTATCATTGCATTCTTCATTATGCAGGAATTTGCAGTCTCACTTGCTTTAAGACGAGTTATGTTCAATGTTTGATGGTTTGGATGTATTCGTGATGGCCTATAAGCAAAATATGAAACTGTATGAGAACATATGGTGTAATTTGGAGGATCTGTCATTTATGATTTTCGCCAGTAATTGTCTTATATAGGTCCTATTACGGTCCTGCATATTTGATGGCCCCATGATGATATTTGAAGTAACAGACACACATACCACCCGGACTCATCCTCTCCCGCATTTGCTCTCGAAAGCTCAGCCCCTCAGATCGCCTCAATCCGCCGAGAATACAGCGACTGTTATAGACACCGAATTATTCTGTGTAAATGCCCCTGCTGAAACTGAAACTGCTCTTTTTGTCTGCACTTGTCTTATTTTGAGACAGGAAAATTCACATGAGGCAGATGCCAAGTCCGTGTCTAGACTCCTTCACATCCAAGTCTGTGCTCTGGATCGGCTGAGTGCCATCAACAGATCAGACTGGTTCTCGGTAGCCATGCACTCGCAGGTCATATGGCAATAGCATCTATTGGATGTGCTGTGATTTCTGCTTTCTAGCATGATCTATCGGAAGCGTCAAACTCCCCAATAATTGAGCTCTTGAAATCGTCAATCTAGGCAGACCTGGAGACTGGGTTCGAGTTCTTTCCTTGCTATTGTCTACTTAATGCCAAATCCATTTAGCAATTTAGCTGAAAAACAATGCTATGTTTTTGGTCGCTTCGGTTGTATCAGCTCAGCCGACACAATCTCTCCTCTAACTCTGCCCCGTTCGCAGCTTAAGTCACAAATCCACGTGAATAGGCACACTTTTGAGACAGAAATTGTCATGCACCTCCCTTAATGTACCGAATTGAGTCCTAAATGTCCACAAATTTCTGCAGGCCTACTCATCTCATTGTGGGAAAACTCAGCCATTACTCGTTAACTCACCCTGTGACGCCAAGGTTGACTAAGTTCGCCTTAACGGATTTTCGGGCCATACGAGGACATTTTATGCCCTTCAAGATGCCAGGCCGGACGAAGGTGATCACTCATTTGTTGACTGCATGCTCTTCGAAATTTTGTCGACCAGCTCTATGCGCCCCATCTGGACTTCCAGGAGGTCTCAGGTGTTTCCCGTCCTGTCTACTTCTGAGTCAAGAAAGCTCTTTCGATGTCTTGTGGTGCTGGCATCACTCACTTCACTACCTTGCCCTTGACATACATACTCGTAAGATACTGTCTTATCGTCACCCTTGAACAGACCCTCTCAATGCGCCTTGCTCTCATACTTTCAGGCTAGGTCCCACAACCTTAATCTGTAGGAATGGATTGCTCTCTTCTGCTTGCTTGTAGCCGTATATCTTTACTTTAAAAACCAAGTCAATTTATGCTATTCTTACTATTCCGATTTAATGTGCTCCTTGAACTTGCTAAGCTTTGGCAATTAATCTGGATGAAAAATTCGCCGGAGGATGCTATCTAGAAGAGATAATATAGCCCCTATTTTTTTGCTCTGTACTCGCTACATTCCTCTACCTATTCATTGGTTTGATAATTCTTAATTTTACCTTAAGGCTTGTAAACTAAGGATTACTTGGTGCATGGTCAGACATTTTCGGCATTCGAAGCTTTTCTCTCCCTATCCAATCCGTTTAGATGCCTGTTGTCAAGGTTAACCTATCGAGCATATTAATTTCATTTTTTTCTCTGAATTCTCTACTTTTCATATTTTTGCACTGGTAATTTATCAGTTCTATTCGTTTTTATGGTTCTTTTCTTTGCTTCTGCAGAATTACTTACTGATAATGATTAAATTCTTATTTATATGTCCTGAATCGCATTCAGCTATTATCCTAGTAATTTTTTACTATATACTCTGTCTCTCACTCAAACTCTTACGAACTATGAAGTCCACGTTGACAAGAATCCCTTCGGATGGGGAAATTTAAACTCATTTTCCAGATTACCATGCAAAAGGCAT